CGAGTTGCGTAATTCAAAAAACAAAAACATTTTCGTTTCCTCACACACATACACACACACACACAACAACAACAACAACAAACAACACAAAATCGTAGCAGAAAATGCAAAAATTTGAATATGCAGTGTTGAAAAACAATGAAATGTGATTTAAAAATTAATTAATTAAATTAATTGGCATTTAATTTAAAGCAAAAAGAAGAGAAAAAAAACAACAAAAATATATATAGCAACAACAACAACAACAACAAACAGTCATTATACCATATAAATATTTCAGTTTTGAGAGCATCAAAAAAATTCCTTTAATGAAATTTACGAATTTAAATGTTTCATTTTCGTGTTGGCCCAAAAAAAAACAAAAGAAAGTTTTCTATCGTTTTTCTCATTTATCGAAAAATAATAATAATTTTCATGGAGCCCAAAGCGTTCTTCAAACATTTGATTTACATTTTCGTATGCGAAATGTATCTTGTTTATTGTACAAAGTATTAAAAGAGAGTAAAAAAAAAAAACAACAAAAACAACTATTAAAACAGAGTAAATGATTACAAGTAAAGAATGATAAAAATACAAGTAAAAGGGAAGCATGAGCAAACAAAAACAAAATCCCAACAATTTTATTACATTTATAAAATGAAAACATTTACATTTTAATTGTTGCATAATTTTAATTATTTTTTAAAGCCTATAAAATTAATTGATTTAGCGCCGTAAAAAAAAAAATACGCAGCAACAGAAAAAAGCATAAAGTTAAAATATTAATTGTAAAATAAAAAAAAAAATAAAATAAACAAAAGAAAACAGAATATACTTGTATTTTAAGGCAGGTTAGAGAGCGCAAACAAACTATTAAAAATTTAAATCAAATTTAACGCTAGAACTTAAATATAAAATATTATTAAATAAACATAAACCTGTATATATCGAAATGTATGTTACATGCGGCAACAACAAAACACACAAACAAACAAAAAAAAAAAACAAAAATTAATTAATATATATATATATATATAAATAAAAAATACATATATAAAAGAGTATTGTTTAAAAACAATTTGAGTTTCGTATGCCTTATTTTCTTTAGGTTCCTTATTTTATTTCCCTCATTTCAGTTTATGATTTTGTTTTTTGTTTTTTTTTTTGTACGATGTGGTTAACATGGACCAATTTTTATACATATATAATATATATCCCCACACACACACACACACACACACACCGAAAAAAACAACTATATGATAATTATTATAATTATACATATAAAACAGAAACAAAATTGAAACGAAAACGAAAACGATTAAAAGAATTAACACAACATAGCAAAATTTTTAAGCGAATTAATTGCTTCTCGAGCTATTCAAAAGTCAAAGAAAATATGAAAAACAAAAAGCTTAAAACAATTATGCAAAATCTCGTCAATGTGGTAGTTAAATGAATCTCAACTTTTCTCAATGTTATATCAAACCATATGCTAAATTATTATATAATGCTTATCGTCGTACTCTTATTGAACAAAAAAAAACAAAAAACATAATACGATAAAACAAAAAATAAAAAAAAATCGTAGTGGTTTCATTGTAAAACAATATTTCATAAATTTACGAATAGCTTCGACATTTTTCTCGCTTCTACAAAAAAAAAAAAAAAAAAAAAAAAAAAACCCAAAAAAAAAAAACGCTAAGGAAAAAACAAAATCTTAAAAAATAATTTAAAAACACAAATATATATATAACTCGGCCACATTGTTTTTGCAGTGCACAGTTTTAACGGTGGTTTTTTAGCGAGCTGCCAGATCGGTTCGATTCGATACGAGAGCATCGAAACCGTTACTGAACTATGCACTGCGAGAAATTGTGGTTAAGTCAAATTACGACAAACAAAATTGGAACCGGTTCGGGGTCAGTTAAGGCCATGGAATATGCGCAAATGTGATTTTATTCAAAATAAAATACACATAAAAAAGAAACAAAAACAAAAAACAAAAATAAATGATACAGAATTACAATTAATGACATTTTTATTGAATCGGCATTGGCTGAGTGTGAATGGAGCGTGTATATACGAGTATTTCCCTAACATAATATATATAATGGATATATATATATATATAAATATATATTATATATATATATATATATTTAATGGTAGCCTTTAAGTTGTAATTTTAAATGAAACAAAAGCAAATACACATTAAACAATATGAAATTAAAGGAGGATTGCTTTCGATTCAGGTTTTCAGTTCCAACGACTCTTCTTGGCACGCTTCGCATCCTGATTGCTGTTGCTGTTGCTGCCGGAGTTGGAGGAGCCACCGCCGCTTGGTGGCGGCGGCGGTGCTGCAAAGACGCCCGTCTCCGGCACCGTTTGCTCCCAGGTGCGATCGCTGGAAGCGCGAAATTGTGAGTTATATTGCGAACGGAATGCCTGGCGCATGGCCGAATAGCGATCCGTTGCGGGTCCGGCGCCGGATTTGTTCAAATCGGCAACTGGACCTTTACCAAGGCCAGCGCAGGAGGAGCCGCCGCCACCTCCTCCGCCGCTGCCCTCATTGCCAGAGCGCTCGCGATAACCCAGGCCCATGAAATTGTTGGCGGGCTTCCGGCCCTTGCCCTGTTTGAAGCGCGAGCTGCGAAACCAGGAGCTCTTCATGGCCAGCTCCATGAGATCGTCGGGCACCGTTTGATCGGCGCCCTCCAGATTGCGCACAAGATGGCCAGCAAACTCCTTGTCCTTATCGGTGACCAGGGTGTAGGCATTGCCCTTCTCGCCCGCACGGCCCGTGCGTCCAATGCGATGCGTGTGCGTGTCAATGTCCCGGGCAATGTCATAGTTGACCACGTTGCGTATGTGGGGTATGTCCAGGCCACGGGCGGCCACATCGGTGGCCACCAAAATGTCGCACTCCTTGCGCTTGAACTGCGTGATGACCTTGTTGCGGTCCGCCTGGTCCATGTCGCCGTGCAGCAGCAGGCAGTTGTGCTCCTTGACAATCAAATTGTTGGCCACCGTCTCCGCGTCCGCCTTCTTGGTGACAAAGACCAGGACGGCGCCCTCGGAGAGGAATTTCACCAGATGGCACAACAGCCAGTTCCACTTCTGCAGCGGATTGGGAAAAACGTAAACATGCTGAGTGATGTCCTGATTGGCCTCGTTCAGATCACCCTGGACTATGCGCACCGGATCGGTGAGAATGTCGCGGGCGAGGCGTTCGATGCGCTTCTTGAACGTGGCCGAGAAGAGCAGCGTCTGGCGATCTGGGCGCACATGGTTGCAAATGGAGCGCACCTGCGGCTCGAAGCCCATGTGAAACATGCGATCCGCCTCGTCGAGCACCAGAAATGTGACGCGCCTCAGGTTTGTGGCCTTCATTTTGACCATGTCGATCATGCGCCCGGGCGTGGCCACCACAATCTCGCAGCCCTGCTCCAGCGCCTTGCTCTGCTCCCACTTGGAGCCGCCGCCATAGCAGCAGACCACATTTATGTTGTACACCTTGCCAAATTTCTTGGCCTCGTTGTAGATCTGTAGAGAGAGCTCACGCGTCGGCGCCAGGATCAGGCCAATGGGTCCATCGCCCGGGCGCAACTCGCGCTGATCCATCAGATGCGTGAGCAGCGGCCAGATGAACGCAGCCGTCTTGCCGGAGCCCGTCTTGGCAATGCCAATGATGTCACGCCCAGACAGAGCTGCGGGCACTGCCTGCGCCTGTATGGGCGTGGGCTGTGTGTACTCCGCCTTGCGCACGGACTTCAGCAGCTGTTCGTCGAAGCCAAAATGGCCGAAGGAGCTGACCGGTTTGGGTGGCAGGGCGCCGCTCACCTTGACGCCCAGCGTACGACGCAGTTCGCGCACCTGCTCCTCGTCCAGCTGTGCGATGTCCTCGTGGGGCGTGTAAAAGTTACGCTCGAAGGGCTCGTAGTCAATCTCCGAGTGATAGATGGGAGGCAACGGATCAATATCCTTCTTCTTGGGCGGTGCTATGGGATTGCCATCCTCGTCGTATTCGATTTCCTGATCAGAGCCCTCGTCGCGCAGACCCGCATTGGGATTCTCCTCCATGTAGCGGTAGTAGCTCTCCTCATCGTCCTCGTCGTCAATGTCGTGGCGCACGCCCTTCTTCTCCAGCGGCGCGACGCTCGCCTTTTGCTGCGGATCTGTCGCACGCACCTTTTCCTTTTCCACCTGCTGTTTGATGCCAGCCATAAACTGCTCCAACGGATCCTCATCGGAGTCGGTGTCATCCTTGGCGGTCGGTATCGCGCCCGGCGAACCAGGTGCCGGTATATAAGCCTGCTCCGGCTGGGGCTTATGCTGCTGCGGCTCATCGTCGTCGTCAAAATAATCGTCGTCCATGTGCTGCTTGCGCTTGCCCACAAAATTTGTGGAGTTCGTGTACTGGCTAATCGACTCGAGCGTCGAGTAGCCGTGCTTCGATGTGCTCCCACTCGCTGTAGCACCAGCTGCCAGACCGCCTCTGGCCTGGTTAAAGCTGAATCGAAATCCCCCGCCTCCACGGCTGTTGGTTAAAGCCGGCGGCGGGGGCACTGCGCTCATGTTGTTGCCGCCGCTGGGCTGCTTCTTGTAGGGAAAGCCGCCGCCTCCGATGCCGCGGTAGTTGCTCATGGCTGCGTTGGGCTCGAAACTTCTCTTACTTTTCAAAACGAAGCACAAATCAATACAACATACGCGAGAATAGAATTTGCAAGATGCGCATTGTTGCCAACCTAATCAGAGTTGTCGTTGCCCAGCACTGGAACTAAGCGGTGTTTGGAAGGTGACGATATATCAACGATAGTTGCACTGCGATAGTTGAACGACGAACAAATCGAAATTTAAAACTTTTCAGCAAGAAATACTTGTGCTTCGGCATGTATTAGGCGTTAATGTTTAAATTAATTTTTAATCAAATTTTAGCGCAATGCCTTACATTTTCAACATGCCCCAATGCCCTAATGCCAAGCAGTGCTGTCAAATACTGTTTGATATCGATTATTGACTCATCGGCTATCGATTTCGTCTTGTTGATATTTTGTCTGTTGGCAGCAACAGATGATAAAAAGAAATGGTTGAACAGACTGCAAAGGATTATGCTAAAATTATACAAAGCGCGGATCTGGAAAAGGAGGTGCCTATAGTTCAATAACAATGCTTTCAATTGCTAACAAAAATGTCCATCAATGACAGATTAATCCGCTCTGCACCAACATAGACGACATGCTGGCCCGACTAGACGAGTTTGAAACGGTTTTGGCCTCCGTAAGTCGCGGAAACATACACTAACTAAACTAATTAATTGAATTAATTAATGTGTATTAGGTGCGCGCCGAGTCTAACGGTATCATGGCCAATCATGTGTGCAGTATTCTCAGCTTTAGCGAAAACTTTGGGGAGCTGCGACAGCGAATCGACAACTTGGAACAGTTTGTGGCCACGGTAAACGAGAACCTGAACGAGGTAGAGCGATCCGTGGATGTGGCTGAGCAGGAGCTCAATATAGCCGACTACAGTATAAAGGGCTTGCTGCTGAAACCATTAAGGGCCAGGCTAGCCGCCACAGATACGTCTGGAACGCCGCCCAAAAGTAATCTGGTCGAAGGCGAGTTCCAGCCGGTGCCCATATTCAAATCGGACGATTACTTTGGCAGCCGGGCGGATGAGACGAATGTCAGCGTATAACGCCTAACTAGATGTTTAGTCAATAATTAGCAGATGAGTTTAGTGAGCGTGTTAATATAATTGTACATTTGTAATTATTTGTTACGACTTCGATCTGTTTTCTTTTTCGTAACAGGAAAGTCGAGCTCGTGACTTAGGTCTTGATTTCCTCGCTCTCTTCAGAGCTGCCGCCGCTGCCGCCGCTGCTGCTGCTGCTGGGCTCGGCGGTGGTCTTGGGCTTGTTCAAAACCTCAGAAATGGGCACTGGATAAACAAGCAGTGGACGGGCGCTGCTGCCTTCCTCCGGCACGTGCGCATTCACGTCCTCCACCGCGGTGGTTTTTTCCTGTTCCTCATTTGGTGCAGCTGTGGTCTTCACCTGCGTGGGCACTGGAATGTCACGCTGATGGCGCGCTGACTTGTTGTCAGCCGGCTCAATGAGTGGAATAAGGGGCTCGGGTACGGCTGGTTCATCATGAGCTGGTTTTGCTGGTGACTCGCGCTTTGGTTTCGTGGATTCGACCAGAACGGCCTCGAGTCCAGTTGATTTCGCCGCCGGTTCCCTCCAAATAGCCGGAATAGCGCGGACAGTATCACTTTCAGTTTCTGTAATGTCAGCCGGTGCTGGAGCCGCCGTGCATACGGCGCACAGGGCCACAAAAATCAACTGTATGTACAATGGATAATGATATCAAAAAATGTTAGCGAAGAAAATCCAGCGGCTCTTACGAATTTTCTCATTGTCTGGCGGAAACTTGACTGTACTGAAAGGAAAGTTTTAGCGAACTGTTGGATTTGCTGGATTGTCGGCGCATTATATGGAAAGTCCGCGATGAGGCGGCGTAAACGGCACTCTAGTCGGGAACTGCAGGGCTGCAGGTTGGACCTGGCTGTTAACCAGTTTGTAAATCTATTCACTAGTGATAATTGCCGCACTAGCTTTACGCTGTGTTTCTGTATCAACATTATTGTATGTATATTTAATTTGCCTGCTGATGTTTCAAATGATAGAGCGGGCTAATTGTAAGCTGTAAAGATCAGCGCAGCATCTTTTGACATATACAAGTTGTTACTCGGAATCTATACTAAATGCATGAATATTGAATGCGAATTAAATGTGGCTCAAGGTGGAGCCGGTCAGGTGAGTTGATTACATATTTTTATATGCCCGAATGCATATATTGGCATGGCTCCAGGCGGGGGCGTATGAGGCGAGGGTCTGTGCGTAAGCGTTAACTAGATATTTAGTTAATAATTAGCAAATTGCTTTTGTAAGTGTGTTCGTATTGTAAATTTTTATTTATTTCTTTTTTTTTTTACTTCGGTTTGTTTTCTTCCTCATAACATGCTGAAGCAATTAACAGGAAAGTTGAGGTCGTGACTTAGGCCTTGGCTTCCTTGCTCTCCTTGCCCTCTTTAGAGCTAGACGCTGGTCTTGGGCTTGTTGAACAGCTCCGAAACAGGCACCGGATGATGACGCAGTGGACTGTGAGGGGTGCTGCTGATAGCAGCCGGCACTTGGCCATTCAAATCCTCCTCTTGGGGCTTGTCCTTATGCTCAATTGGGGCAGCTGTGCTCTTGATTTCTGTGGGCACAGGAATGTCGCGCTGATGACGCGAATGGCCATCATGCGGTCCAGCGGATATGGGAAGGACCAGGGGTTTAGCTGGGCCACCTTGAGTGTGGCCATGCGCATCGTGCTGTTCAGCCCCATGTCCAGCCGGCTTTGGTGGTGAATCGCGTTTCGGTTTTCCAGATTCGTGCTGTACGCGATCGTGTCCCAAAATGCCAGTTGGTGCGGCATCATGATGAGCATCATGCTCATGTCCAGTTGGCTTTGGTGGTGACTCGCGTTTGGGTTTTGTGGATTCATGCTGTACGCGATCGTGTCCCAAAACGGCGGCTGGTGCGGCATCATGAGTGTGGGCATGCGCATCGTGCTGCTCAGCCTCATGTTCAGCTGGCTTTGCTGGTGACTCGCGCTTCGACTTCTTGGGATCGTGTTGTGCAGCAGCGTGTGTCAAATCGCTTATTGGAGAATCATGATGGTGGGCAGGAGCATCATGCTGCTCAGCCTCATGTCCAGCTGGCTTTGATTGTGACTCCCGCTTCGGTTTTGTGGATTCGTGCTGAATGGCCTCGTGGCCAGATGGTTTATCTGTCTGGTCAGTGTGATGATTATGCTCCAGGAGCTCATGAGCCTGAATGGAATGCGGCTTGGCAGAAGCAGCTTCATCGCGCTTCTGACGATGCTTGACCTCGGGCTCACCCAGCAGCACAACCCTCTCGGCAGGCTTTGGATCAACTAAAACAGCCGGATTAATAGGGCTGGGACGAGCTAGTTCAGCTTCTTTAATATCAGCCGGAGCTGGAGCCGCCGTGCACACGGCGCACAGGGCCACAAAAATCAGCTGCATGTACAATGGATAAGGTTATCAAAAAATGTGAAATGTGAGAGTAAAGAATCCAGCGGGTCTTACGAATTGTCTCATTGTCCGGCGGAAGCTGATGACTGTACTGAAATGATATTTCCAGCGAACTGTTGGAGTTGCTGGATTGTCGGCGCATTATATGGAAAGTTTGCGATGGGGCAGCGGATCTCTGGCCGGGAATAGTATGTAGTGATATGTTTGACATTGTTGTTAGCCATTTCGTAAATTGATGATAATTATCGGACTAGCTTAACGCTGTTTACCTAGCGAGTTTCTATATCAATATTATTGTATGTATATATTTGTTTTTCTTATTGATCTTTTAAATGATAATGCGAGCTAATTATAAGCTGTAAAAATCACCGCAGCATCTTTTGACATATGCCATTTATATTTCCTTCCACTCGCCATCTATACATATATGGAATATCGAATATGGAATATGGATTTGAATGAGCATTAAATGTGGCTCAAGGCGGAGCTGTGTGTACCTGGTCAGGTGGGCAGAATAAGCGAATGCTGCATGTTGATATTGCTCGGTCTTGGGAACCCGGTAAGTTAGTCATCTATATTTAGCACCTTGTTGCGAAAAAGCTATCTGGAAATGGGTGCAAATACTAGGAAGGCGAATTAAAATTCACATAAATATAATTGTGAAACGCCTCTAATTACGGGCTTTACGTAAGATGACACTCTTGCTTATATTAGCGCAAATTAATACGGCTTTGCTGGAAACTGTACTAGCTGAGCTAAGTTGTAAATTCCTGATTGATTAATTGTAGCATTCAAATATAATTGCGGAAATTAAAATTATCAATTCAAATTGAGAAACGTTCTAGGTGTGCCAGTGTGTGCACAAAGTCTGCGGTTAAATATTCGCTGGCAAAATGAGTTTATTTTGTGCACATGCGGCGTGTACACACTGGCCGCTAAAATCAAGCGTAGTTAAAATCTGTTGTTAAATAGCCTATTAAGTTAAGAGTCGGAACAGCAAAGATGCCCACAGAAATCGAGAATTTAAATCCGAGCGTCTATAGCAAGATCAAGGAGCGTGCGGTAACAGCCAACGAAGAGGATGAAAACATTGCCGATCCCTTTGACAAGCGAGAAATCTTTGGTAAGCAAATTAACACGCACCAGAAAATTTTTTTTACTTAATATATGTACGCGTGCATCCAGCGCAGATCTTATACGAAACATCAATGATCCCGAGCATCCGCTAACGCTGGAGGAGCTGCACGTAGTCCAGGAGGAACTCATTACCATAAGCGACAAACAGAATTCGGTGCACATCAACTTTACTCCAACGATTCCCCATTGCTCGATGGCCACGCTGATTGGTCTCTCCATACGGGTGAAGCTGCTGCGATCGCTGCCGCCTCGGTTTAAGGTCACCGTGGAGATAACGCCGGGTACACACGCCTCCGAGATGGCCGTGAACAAACAGCTGGCGGATAAGGAACGCGTTGCCGCGGCGCTGGAGAACAAACACCTGGCCGAGGTCATAAACCAGTGTATATCGGCAAAGGGTTAACCGTCGCACTATTATAATATATGCTCAATGTGTCGTGTGTTGTTTTTGTTAATAGAAAATATATTCAATTTTAGCATACATGACATATGCCGCAACTTCTGGGATCGAGAAACTAAAGGGTACGGTTCTAACATTAACAACAAACGCTTAACGGCCAAGACGAACAGCACACGGTGGCTACTGCTCCTTGGAGGGAGGCTTAAGGCTTCCTGTAGGCGGTGTCGCTCCTTGGACTGGAGGCTTGGTGGGATCGTACTTGTACGTCTTCACTAAGGGCCCTTTGCCGGCCTTGGCAAAGCGAATTTCATCCAATTGCTGTCGCTCCTCGATCTCCTTTGTGATCTTCATGTTGTCCCAAGCTGCAAGGAGCAAGCGGAATTAGATAGTTTCCGTTTGACTGGCTGTTCAACTTACATTCCTTCATGCCGCCCACAAAGCCCTTTTTCTTGGCTGGCAGTGCACTGGGCGGATGGGACACCATTTTATCAATTTTAAAGTAATCCCGCACAGCGGGAATCCGCAACACTGCCACCTGGCCCAGCGAGATAAAGTTACTGCAAGCCCAGTACGTCAGAATGGCAGCGGGAAAGTTCATGGTGAAGGGAAAGATAACAATCGGCAGGGCGCGCAGAACATACTTCATGGTGTTCATGTTGGCAGCTGACAGGCGTGCGCTGTCCGTGCCAAGTTCAATGGTCAGATACAACGTGGCGCTGGTAATGACGGGTAACAGATAGAATGGATCCGCCAGTGTCAGATCCGTGAACCAGAAGAGGCCACCGTCACGCATGGACTCCACGGGCGTGTTGGCCATCTGACGTAGACCCATGAAGAAGGATAGGAAGAGCGGCGCTTGCGCCAATGGCACAATCATATTCTTTAGAGGATTAACGCCCTTTTCTTTCATAAACAGCATCATTTCCTGCGCATATCGCGCCGATTCAATGGCATTGCCCGATTGACGCGCCTCCGTCATCTTCAGCTGCAGCACCTGCATCTGTGGCATGTTGTTACTCATCTTGGCTGAGTTGCGTTGCGCAAGGATGACCAGTGGAAAGATTAGGGTACGTACGACGATCGTACCTATTGCAATGGTGCCCCACCAAGGAATATCCCACGTGCAGTGCAGAAACTCCATACAGTTTTGTACCATGCCCACTGGCGACCAGCCGCCCAGGCCAATGGAGGCAAATGTTGGTTCGCCAGCCAGATTAATAGTTTCCATAAGGCTTTCCAGATCCGTGGAAATATTTTGAATGGCTGGTGGCAAAGGCGCATCTGGAATAGCAGGCAGGTCCACCAACTCCTTGGCGGATTCCAAATTGGTCGGCACGTCCATCTTGGAGCTGGCATATCGCAGTCCACCGGCTGCCGCCGACGAATAGAGTGGGATCAATGGTGACGGAGGCGCTAGCATGACACGAGTGGTCAGCTGGTTGCTCCAGCTGCTGCTCAAATGCATGTCTCGACTGCTGCCGCCTGTCGGAAACATCTGCAAAGGTTCCTCTATTCAATATGGGCTGCCATTTCATTCATAATAAACCGCGCTTTGCAGGTTATGTCATAAGGGGCTCCCCTGGTGACAGTCGCCGGCGGTGTCAACGGCGCCTTACCTGTGTGGCACCCTTGCTGGCTGTGGAATTCATCGTCAGCGCCGCGTGAGTCGCTTTCCATAGTTGCATTCGCTTGGCCAACATCTTGCACTTTGCTTTAATTTATAAATGTAATAATTTGACGCATTCGCGTTCGTCGAGTTAAAAGAGATGGCAACTTCGTTCTCTCACAGATGGTCACTTCAAAACATCTGTTTCTTTTTTTTTTGCCAGGGCTGAGTAATAATTGGCGTTTGGTCAATTTTAGGTGCACTTCTGTTGAGAATTCAATTTTGAAACTTTACAATTTGTCTTGTTTTTAAAATTTGTATGTATATTGAGTGTTAATCCAGTAATCAAATGATTTTCCTTTTAGCCGCTTTCATAAATTTTTTGTTGCTCCTTAAGTCCAGTGACACGATTGCTGCGTAAATACTTAAATACCGTATATCGTATACCGTAAATACCGTATTCGTATACCGTAAATACCGCAATTGGCGTCGGTTACTTTTCGTATTTCAAACTCACTTTCACAATTACGATTCAAAAAGCTTTATAATTGCCTTCCGATATAGACAAAAATATGATTTTACGCTTTTAACAGTTAATAATCAAAAAAAAAAAAAAAAATGGTGCTCGAAATGAAAAGAAAATTAACTCAAACTGTTAAATACTCAAATCCAAAGTAAATGCCCGTCCTCTCTCATAACTCTAATAACTTTTAGCCAAAACTTAAGCAATTTTCTGTCCTTTTTTAAACGTAGTCTCTTAATTTTATGATATATACGCAATGTTGTAATCAGTAAAACACTTTTCAGTATTGAATTTTCGAATGAGTAAAGGGGTGGGTGCAGAAATATACATTCATATATCTAAATGCATATACAGGTCACCTATTTATTTATTAATCATAGTTAATCATACGCAGCGCCATGCCGTACGCACGCTGCGAGAGCGCTGGCGGTGGAGCTGCTCGCTCGCTCTCTTTATGATCGTAAGCGAGGAACAATGATCTCTCTCTTAACTTCAGTCGCTTTTAGATATTCGAGGCGAGCAGTCGTGGTGCGCACGCGTAGCACTTGCACACAAACACACACACACACAAATCGGGTGAAAAACAGCAAGAAGAAGCATACGAACTGAGCGAACGACGGGTAAATTTGAATTTCTATCTGATTTCAGTTAGTCGCGAGCGCTCCAACGAATCGGTAACGGTTACTGCGCTGTGGGCAAGTCGAAATTAACAAATTCGCAATTTAGCATTGCAATTTGTTGGAGTATTTCTCTTGACTGCGCTTACATTTTTTTGTTGTTGTTTGTTAGCCGCTGGAAACGCTGGCGGCGCAGCCAACAAAGTTCTTTGCGCGGCTGCTGCCGTCGTCGCCTGTCGCAGTTGCATTTTCAATAAACGCGTTTTCTTTTGGCACGTTGCGTGGGCGCCCCCTGCCATGCGTCTGTCTGCCGCACGGTGTCTGTGTGTGTGTGTCAGTGTTGGTTAATGTGTTTGTGTTGCTAATTAAAACAACAAATGCAACTGCAATAACAACTAGAAACGAGAAACGATAACTTTGACGCAAGCCAAACAAAGTGCTATCGATAAATGCAATTAAGCTCATTCACAAATTGGAGCAACAGCAACAACAAGTGCAACAACAAGTGCAACAGGTGTTGGGCGGCCAGTGCTATACAATTATTGTTTTTGTTTTTCATGTGGTAAGTTTCATTTTGAAAATCGAATAATATATTTATCAAAGTGCTATCAGCTCGCTGGCCCATAATAAATAAATAAATTCTTGTTTGCCTGCTTATTAGCGATCAGCATCTGCTTGCATAAGTCGCCAGTTGAATTAATATTTATTAGACCAGCGACGCGTTAAAACTAGATCAATTACGCGGAACAATAATTCTGATAAGAAAACGAGACACCCCTCCCCCGCCTTCAGCCAATCCATTTACCACAGCCCGCAAGCAAGTGCAGCTCATTAAATGCTTAAGCTATTACAATCGAGTTTATGAGTAAGGCCATAGATTATGTGGGGCATAAGGAAAACTTAATATTCTTATCAATAAATATAGGAAAATTTTTAATTGAATTTCAATTTTGTGGCACACTTGCACTTTTTAATTTTCATAGAAAGAGAATCAGTTCAAAATCTTTAATTCAAGATAAAAGTGAGGGAAGATTTTTGATAGGGTAGCCCATTTCCATTCATATATCAGAAGTTCTCGCTACAAATCTGTCAGCAATAATTAGTAGCGAATCGAGTTATATAGTAATTGTTATTGCGCAAATCGGCTGTAATCGCAAGACAAACAATTAATTAACGCGACAGCCGCGGGCTGTTTGGCAAACAAAATGCGAAGCTCACGCTTCGCCCCGCAAGGTTTCGTTTCTCAAGATCATATAAATTCGTTTATGGTTTGTTCCCGATACGCAACGCCCCGCAGCGGCATTAGATCTATGGGCTGGGATCTATGCTCTTAGATCTTTGCCGATACAAATCAGATTCGCCAGCAACAACAACAACAACAACAACAACAGGTGGGACAGCTACCTGGCCGGGCAATTCCGCGAAGGTTTCGAGGTTTATGATATATTCCAGAGTTCCAGACACTCAAGCACCCGGAGGCAGCAAATCTCAACGCGCTGTGCTTCAAAGTGGCCCGGCTTAATTCCAATTGATTTCATGCTTTATGCGAGATTTTTGATTCGCAGATTTCTTTCCCAATTTTTTTCTTTCGTTTTCTTTTTTGGCAAACAATTTAAAGTGTCAATTTGTGTTTATAAAACTAAAATTATTTATCAAGCCGCTGGCCATCGCAAGTGGGCAGCGTAAACAGTTAAAAAACACACGCACATGCGCATACATATGCATATATATATATATATATATATATGTATGTGTGTGTGTGTGTGTGTGTGTGTGTGTGTTGGGCAAATACTGAGTGCAAACGCGAGCACACACAAATAGATATTTCTGACTTGGCTGCAAAGTCAATTGCCAAATATGGCGCACTTGTTTGTGTGCGGTTTAATGTCACACACACAACACACACACAGCACACACACACACACACACTCACACACACACACTCTCTCAGTTGCACAAGTTTAACTCTCCGTCTGTCAATAGCTAAGTTTTGTTTTGAAAAAGGAAATTCAACTACTTGTTTCGCCAAAAGACAGCAGAAATAGTCACCAGAGCTTCGCCAGCTCCGATAAATACTCGTAGCAATATTGTTTATAAATAACCAAACCTCCATTCCCCATCATTGTTGCTTGCATAAATATTGAGATTCGCTTGCGTTAGTTTTGGGCGCATAAATTTATTTGCTTTTATTTCTGAAAACTCGCGCTCTATAAGGCCCGCAGCATGAGTGTGCATCTCATCTTAACTGGGCTAAGAACTTTTCAAACTATTTG